ATTTTGAACAGTTTCTTGGATGACTTCGCTGGGCTGTTATTCCGACTCGCTTGTTGGATGATGCGAGAACTCTGATATGAAGTCGGCAATAGCCTGCCCTTTGATAACTGATCTCAGTTTGTAATGGAGATCGAACTGACTGAGTTCCCTAGCCCATTTAAGCAATTTACCCGACGCCTCCGGCTTATGGAGGACTTGCTTGAGCGGGTAATTAGTCATTACATGAACTGTATGGGCATGGAAGTAAGGTCACAACTTTTGGGAAGCGATCAGCAGGGCATAAGCTAATCGAACCATTTCTGGATACCGCATCTCGGCATCCAATCGATGCTTGCTCGTGTAGTGTACTGGCCATTGCGTTCTGTTCTCTTCCCAAACCAAGGCTGCACTGATCGCGAACTGTGAGACGGACAGGTACAAAATGAGGATTTCTTATGGGAGAGGTTTGGACAGAAGTGGTGGCTTCTTGAGGTGTTCCTTTATTCTTTGGAATGCCTGTTCGCACTCGGGAGTCCATTCGAACTTCTTATTGGCCTTGAGTACATTGAAGAATGGTAAGCAACAATCTGTTACCCTCGATATGAAACGACTTAGCACCGCTATACGCCCGTTTAGGCTCATGACCTATTTTTTGTTGGTCAGGCTCTTCATATCGAGGAGAGCTTGGATTTTTTCGGGGTTGATCTCAATTCCCTGCTGGTTAATCATGTACCCTAGGAACTTTCCTGAGGATACTCTGAATGAACATTTGAGGGGGTTTAGCTTCATTCGGTACTGTCAGAGGATGTTGAACATCTCAACGAGATATGCTACGTGATCTGAAGCGACATGCGACTTGACCAGCATGTCGTCTACGTAGACCTCCACGGATCTACCTATCTGTTCGGAGAACATTCAGTTAACTAGTCGCTGGTAAGTTGTACCAGTGTTCTTGAGGCCGAAAGGCATAACTCTGCAGCAGTACAGCCCACGATCTATAATGAAAGATGTATGCTCTTCGTCTGGTACGTACATCGGAATCTAATTGTATCCCGAGTACGTATCCATAAAACTCAACAGCTCGTGCCCCGAGGTGGCATCCACGAGCTGGTCGATCCTCGGCAAGGGAAAGCTATCCTTCGGATATGCCTTGTTGAGGTCAATGAAGTCGACACAAGTCTGCCATTTGCCGTTAGGCTTCTTTACTAGAACTGGGTTGACAACCCAGGCCGGATAGAGTGCTTCTCGGATGGATCCATTTCGGAGGAGGTTATCCACCTCAAGTTGGAAGGCAGCACCTCTTCGGATCCATTGCTTTCCTCTTTTGGCAGACTGGCTTGGCTTCACTGTCGATGTTTAATGTATGGCAAGTAACATTTGGGCTAATCCCGACCATATCTATGTGTGACCACGCGAACACATCGATGTTCTCCCTGAGGAAGCTGGTCAGTTCGGTAGCGAGCTGGGGATTGAGATTTTTACTGATCCTTAAAACCCTGCTCGGTTCGATTTGGTCGACCGGTACTTCAGTCAGGTCCTCAACTAGCCCACTAGAAGGGCAGTCTTGAATGCGAGGATCTATATTATCCTCAGCTGGGCCAGGCTGTGGCTCGATCCAGCTGATCGCCATTGCCTGTCTGTGATTGCTACGCGAGGTGCCTTTCCCTCTGCACGCCATCTGGACTGCTTTTACAAAACAGTCGCGAGATACGCACTAAGACCCACTGACTTCCCCTATCCCTGTCAAGGTGAGGAACTTCATCTTCAGATGGTATACTGAAGTGACTGCCTTGAAGTGTCTTAGTAGAGGTCGCCCCAGGATTCCATTGAAGGCTGACGGGCAATCCACTACCAATAACTCAGTTACATTGGTCACTTCGTCGAAATCACCCAGCGTGACTGGGAGTGAGATCGTTCCTTTGGGGAGCAGGTGGTCCCCCATGAAACCATATAAAGGGAACAAGGCAGGCTTCAGGTCGGCCTCGTCCAAATTCGTTCTTTCGAAAGTGGAAGCGAACAGGATGTTCACAGCACTTCCGTTATCCACTAACATTATGTGGATATTATGGGGCCCTATTAGAGGTGTGATCACAAAGGCGTCATCGTGGGGATGGTGCAGTCGTGTTGTGTCCTTTTCGGAGAAGGAAATTTCCTCCTCCCTGCGAACTTTTTGTGGTCGTTGTGCTACGCTCATCACTCTGATAGGGTCGTGATGAGCTTTGCGAGCATACCTTTCTTGGGTACCTCGCAAGTTCCCCACAAAGTGCAGTCCCCCGAAGATTAAATTGAGGGTGCACACCCCTTTGCGATCACGATGCTTCTTGCTTGGCTCCCCCTGATCTTTCTCTTGTGAGGGAGCAGAGTCATCAATATACTCCTTGAAATGTCCCTGCTTGATGAGGTTTTCGATCACTTGCTTGAAAGCTCGGCATTCATGGTATGGTGCCCATTGTCCCGATGATAGCGACAATATTTCTTACTGTTCCTAGCCGATGGGAGATTTTTCATGGGTTCAGGTTCTCCGAGCAGGCTGGCTTCTTCTGATTTGTCAAGAATAGCTGATACAGATGCATTCAAGGGAGTATATTGGTTCCTGTCGCGATCGCGACGAGGAACTGGGGCATAGGACTTTTTAGGCTCATAGCGCGGCTTCTTCCCTTTTCGCTGATCGTCAGGAGCCCATCTGCGATCAACTCTCATTCTTCCTTCCCGACCAGGAGCACTGCCTGAGGTGCCACGGTCGCGACAGTGGAGTGCTGCTACAGAGCTTTCAATACAGAGATATTTCTCCGCAAGGTTGTAAAAATAGATGAGGGAAACATCGTCCTCAACCTGTAGCTCTTTCCACAGGTCGGTCTGTGGACGAACTCCTGCAATGATGAGAGTCCGAACTGACTTCTCAGGAGTGTGAGCCACTTTGTTGAGTTCTCTGTGGAATCTGTCTATATATGATTGGAGGGACTCATCCTTCTCTTGCCTTATGTTGCTGAGGTAGCTGAAAGGTATCGAGAACTTTCTATTCGCTTAGAAGTGCCTCAGGAACGTCGTGCTCATCTAAGGCCACGAGTTGATCGATCCCGCTGGGAGCGACCTGAACCATCATTTGGCATGAGAGGTCAAGGTCACTGCCAAACAATGACACTTTGCCAAATCTGAGACCTAGTGAAGCTCCATCAGTTCGTTGAATTCATATAAATGATCCTGCGAATCGAAATTTCCATCAAATGCTCGCATGTCGGGCATTCTAAATCTCGATGGTAGTGGGGCGGCCAACACCGTCGGAGAAAAGGAAGACGCTGACGCGACCTGCCCTTGCTCATTTTGCTAAGCTTTTAGTTGATCAAGATCTTACTATAGCTCTTCGATTTGAGGTAGGGCGCTACCTAGGGATTACTTTCGGCAATATGGGTACGACCCTCACGGTTACGGTTGAGGAATGACCGTAGGTCGGATTCCCTATTGCCTCTGTCGGTAGTCCCAACCAATCTTGACACACGCTGGCTAGAGCCGTGTGATGGCGTTGCATTATTCGGGGAATTTTCACGACCTCTGCGATGGTGCGAACCGACCCGCGAAGTGTGGTAACTTCCCGTACAACGATCAGGATTGCTCTAGCAGTGATGAGAATCGCCCCGCCCAGCATTTTTGTGGGGGTTTTCACGTGATGTGGCATGAGATGGCTCGAGTTGTACCCTTTCACCGAGTCTCAACGCCACAAGTATTCTACCCTGGGCGTGGTTAGCGTTCGCCGGGCCTTTTGAGCTTTGAGGCCCATTCTTCGCCACTTGCTTACCCTTTCTTCGACGCGCTGCAGTGCTCGCGGCATGAGCTATCGCCCTTTGCCGCTCTTTCGCGCGACCTGCAGGCGTTTTTGGTGGTTGCACCGCTGCATTTGACTTGGGTTGCGCACCCTGGTCCAAACGGTCCAATCTTTACATAACCATTTGGAAAGTATTGTTGAACCTTTCTAGGTAGCTTAGAACGGCAAGGTCAAGTTGTGAACTTGACGGGATGTTCCTCGCGGTGGTCTGCGGAGCCGAGGGTACCCCGGGGGAGGCATCCTCCTGCATTTGAGGGATCCCTTCAGTTTTCTGGTTGGTTTGCTCAGGTTTAAATCGGTAAGCCATTTGGTGTTGTAAGACCCGTAAGTTAGAGATTCTCCTGATGAAGGACGAATGCTAAATCAGGCCCTCCTTCTAGCACCAAACTGTTGATGCGTGATTTTGACACCAACGAAACGCACGTGTGAAATGCTGAGTTGGCCCAAAGGACACACATGAATGCAAGAAAAAATGAGTAAATGCAGTGAGAAGAGTTTTAAAGTGGTTCGGATGCTTTAAGGAAGCAAGTCCTACATCCACTGATGTGTATTAATGATAGCGGTCTGGTCGCGGTCAGCGAAGTGACTTTACAAGTGATTTTACAAGTGAGAGAGAGAGAGAGAGAGAGTATAAGCATTTCTTTGAGAGATTAGTTAATCCCCTAAATGAGAGGAGAGCTCCCAATTTATAGTGGGATGGTTTAAGGTTATCATTACTGAATCTGTGAGTTGGTGGGATTATCCGTGCAAATCCTTCTTTATGTCACATTACCCACCTTCTAAAGTGATTCACGTGATTTGTTGCAGGGATTGGACACGTAGACGTCCTCTATCCTTTCTTCAGTCTAGCGCGCACCCACTGTACTGACAGGAGTGTGCTGCTTGCATCATCACGCGATGCGGCTACGCCAGAATGTCAGTGGGATCTTCCCGAGGTTTGATCACTCGCACTAGCTGAGCGCCACATCAGCCCTATTTTCCCAGGCATAACAGTTAAAGTACCCTTTTTTTTGGAGAATCAATACAAGAAAATGAAGATTGTTGCTTTATATTAGCCCTTCGAATGCTAGAAAAGAGACTAAAACATAAGGAAAGATATGCTCATATGAGGTCTACAATGCCTAAGCTGGCTCCAAAGCGAAGTCTTTAATTCTAGAAAATGAAGATGAAGAAAGCAAGTACAATAGTTTAAGAGACATACAGTTGCAAATTTGAAGTCACCCATGACGGAAAAGTTCCTGATAGAAAATTGTATGATAAATCTCTGCAGAAAATTGTTAAGTATTTTAGCCACCTGTGAGTAGCAACACATGTACCAATATATGCATATAACTAAGAACAATTCCGAAAAGAATTCAATTGCTTCCATCAATTTGTTTTTGGCATTTAGAGAAATGCACTGAGTAGATTTTCAAAAGAGTTTGTATGAAAAGAATTCTATTGCTTTTATCAGTGGACTAATTCCATGACACATATCAAACTTTTCTCTTGCAACCACTGAATCAATAGAAACAGTGAACAGATTCAGAAAATCTAGAGCAATTAACATATGACATTGGTTATAGGATAGAAAGGATGCGCCATAACATTGGTACGCAGCACCGTATGTTCCTTTATTCTTGTCAATCTATTTCTCACACCGTCATTCATCTGGCGCACATAAATCCTCTATACTGGAGTATCTACAAAATTACAGATCTAGATAACACAATATATATATATATATATATATATATATATAACATTTATCATAGACCTGTTATAATATGCAAACAAACACACACACACACACACGCAGAAATGCAGTCATATATATACAACAAAGGCTTACATGGTTTGAAGATTTTCACTTTTTTGGCTCGGAATGTTTCCCGACAGACTATTGTTTCCAAGAAACCTGGATATTGAATGGAAGGCATAAGGCTCATATCAAAATTTTAAACAAACTATTAATTTTTCAATACTGAAGATCTTTAAATTGACAGATGGCTGATTGATGAATTTACAAGTAAGAGAACTGATATTGAATAAAGCACTAGGGATTTCACCAGTTAAATTGTTGAAACTCAGGTCCCTGCAAAATAAAGATGAATTTTCGATTAAAACCAAGAAATTAGTGGCAATGCATTTGAGATTTTGTTTCTAACATCAACTTACAGAGTCATTAACTCCTGGTATTCTCCAATGTCAGAAGGAATATTACCAGTGATCAAAGCATTTCTCAGAGATCTACAAATAAGAAAACAACTGATTAGTGTAAAAATTTAAAAGATTAATCAAGAAGAATAGAAAATGTGAATTTAAGTATGTGTAAACTTACAAGTCAGTTAAGTTCCTCATTCTTCTAATGAAATCAAGAGAAGAGCTAATGTTGTATATATCACTGATACGCCTACAAAATTAATTCGAGGAAGACTAATATGATTTCTCTTTGCATAGAGAAAAGGAAAAAGAGTAAGATATTGAAAAATCGACACCCAAAGATATACTAACAAGGAGGTCAATGAGGTCAAGTTAGAAAAACTTGATGGTATAGGACCTTCGAAAGAGTTCCCTTGAAATCTCCTGCAAGAACATTCAATCAACTCTACGTTATCATTCACACAACACAATAGAAGATAAAAAGGCAAAAGTTTTCGCAGCTTACAGGGATACGAGCTTGCTCCAATTCCCAATAAAATCAGGTATTTTGCCTGTAAAAGGACTATCTGATGCCCACCTGAAATTTTACAGACACTCATTGTACGCTAATTTCAGGCAAAGTAATCTTCCAGCAGAAATTGAATGCCATAAACATGTAGATGGGGATCTTTCTTACATAGTTTGCATATTACGAAGATTAGCGAAAGATGAGGGAATTTCACCACTCAATCCACAACTGTTTATGTATCTGTTAAAAACTTATCAATCAAAAAGTTTCTTAATTTGATAGGACATAAATTTTCGTGTCAAATTAGTACTACACTGAAACAAATAAGAAAGTGGAACCTACATTTGCTCAAGCTTGGCTAAGTTACCAAGTTCGGAGGGAGTGTTCCTGAGAAATGTTGGAACCAAAGACTGCATAACATTTATGAAATAAATATATTTCTTTAGGAATCAGCAGTTATGTGAATTCAAACAAAAACGATTCTAATCACGGACTCAATTGAAAAGAGAGGAAACTTTTAAGACTTACAGAACAGTTAACCCTTAAGGTTTCCAAGCTCCTTGGGGACTGGCCAGAGAATGATTGTGGGCAATTGACCTGGAAACAGCCAAAGGAACAAACAAAGGCATCAATTAGCAGCATAACCTTAAGTATTAAAGATAAAATTTCTAAAAATTTCCCTTTTCAAGAATCAAAGTCAATTATTACTTAAAAGAATTAGTTGTCACATGATTTAGTTATTTTAACATAATAATTAAAATTATGGATATCACTCAAGAGAGAAACAAATGCTTCGGATTTACGAACTAGGATCCTCTCTTATCTTAATTTTATATCTACAGATTGCACGATAATAGTTAATCAAGAGCACTGTGGTTGTGTTTTAATGATGAAGTCTAAGGTTCAAATCAAGGAGATACATCTGAGTCTACTATTTAATGTGGGTAAGGAATAAAATTCAATAGACTTTGATAGTGAACCGGGACGTTACACAGTTTGTAATAATATGGATTATAATTTCCTTTTTCTTTATATTAATAAGTAATATTAACTCGATTTTATTAAGGATAAATGTCGGATTTGGAGATAATAAAGATGCATGGAAGCATTGGTTGGAAACCATGATATTTATACTCACAATAACTTCAATCGAGATAAATTTCCAATAATTCAGGAAGGACCAGTGAAATAGTTTTGATCGATTTTCCTACAAAACTCAATCAGAAAAAGATGATAAAAAATTAGTGTCCGATGATTCTCATGATGAATATATTATTAAAAAAAATAAATGAGTGGGAAAATTCATACAAAAATGTCAGATATTTCAAATTCACCAGTTCTTTTGGAATCACTCCAATTTTGCTCAGTGCATACTGTAAAACACATTTATTCCAATATTCATTGATATACAATCAATTTCAATATAAATCTCCATGGAATATATGCGGAAATAAGACAAACCTCCAGCCATAGCAATTGTTGTTGTTATTTGCTCCTTTATAAATTACGAGATCTTCCACTGACTGCAATTTGGAGTGATGGTTTTGAAACTAAAAATTAAAAACTGCATCAATGGGGACCTGTAAAGTTCTTTCTTATATGCAGTTGTCTTTTCATCAAAGACAACTGCTCAGGAGACACAAACGTATGACCACATCAGTCACATCAACAAGGACCAAAATGTAATTATATGAGAAGTGTAGGACCATATGTTAAAAGTCTAACATTCCACTTGGTCCAAACTTGTATAATATAATCCAGAACACAAGAGATGTATATGTGTATGGGCAATTAGAAAGGGGAAATTACATGAATCATAGCGGTAAGTCCCTTTTAAACAAGTTTACCTTCCATGTATACAATGCAATTTTTCTCTTTCTAAATAAACGCTTAAATGTGGAATATCACTTATGAACAAACCTCAAAGTTTGTTCTAGGTCCTCTAGAAGTGTTTGTCTCCAACCAAAAGTATAAACTTAAAGAGAAAAACAACTAAATTATAAAGTTTCAGACAATGAAAGTATACTCTCATAGTGACAAAGCGGGACATAGTCCCATTTGAACAACATGATCCTTGAACGTCTTTGGGGCCTGCCTTTCGTTAGAGATCAGCAATATCTGCTCAGTATGTATGTGTTCAATGAGACTTCTTGGCTTAAAGTGCTCCCTTATTGCTAAGTACTTAATGTCGATGTGTTTACTCGACTTCCACTCTTATTATTCTTAGCAAGAATACAGCAGCTGAATTGTCACAATATAACTTTATTGGCCTAGAGATAGATCAACAACTCCAAGCCCATAAATGAAACTTCTCAACCAATAACCTGGTAGTTGCCTCAAAACAGGAAACAAACTAGCTTCCATGGTAGAAGTGGCAACTAAAGATTGTTTGGCACTTCTCCAAGATATAGCACCTCCGGCGAGCATAAAAACATATCCGGATGTTGATTTCGGAATCAAGCATCCAGCGAAGTTGAGTCTGAATATTCGACGACTTCTAAAATGTTGGAACGTTTATAAGTAGCATGAAACCTTTAGTTCCTGAAGATACCTCATGACCTTCTTTGCAGTCTCCAATGATCCAAACCTGGATTCCTTTGATATTTCCTAACATGCCAAATGCAAAAGCGATGTCAGGTTAGTACAGACTGAGCATACATTAGGCTTCCAACAGCTGAAGCATAAGGAATAGTTTTCATTTGTTCTTTTCAATCTCAAGTGTAGGACATTGGTTCAGATTGAACCTATCACCCTAACAATGGGTGCAACACTAGGTGAACAATCTTTCATCCTAAATCTCTCAAGAATTTATTAATATAGGCTTCCTGAGATAGTCCCAAAACATGTCGAGACCTATCCCATGAATCTTATGCCAATGACATAAGACGCCTCACTCATACTTCATACTAAAATGTTGAGAGAAGAAATTGTTTCACCTCATGTAGCAAACCCAAATCATTGGTTGCAAGGAGAATATCATCACATATAACACAAGAAAGATGATTTTACCCACTGACCTTGTGGTATATCAGATCCATGACATTCTCTACAAAACCAAATGAGAGATAATAGTGTGAAATTCAAATACCACTGTCGGGAGGCTTGTTAGTCCATAAATGGACTTTTTAAGCTGCAAAACAAATGTCACCATCATGAAATGAACCCATCAGGCTGTTTCATATAAACCTTTCCTCCAAATCTCCATTGAGAAAAGCTGTTTAACATCCATTTGATGTAAATTAAATTGAAATGGGCAACTAATGCCATTATGATACGAAAGGAATCCTTTTAGAAACTGGAGAAAAGTGTCTCTGTAATCTATTTCCTTTCTTTGGTGAACCCCTTGGCAACAAGTCTAGCCTTGTATCTCTCAATGTTGCCTAATGAATCATTTTTGGTTTTAAATACCCATTTACAACAATAGGTTTCTTTCCAGTAGGCAAGTCAACAAGGTCCCAAACTTTATTATCCGCCATGAATTCATCTCGTCAATCATGGCATATACCACAATTCGATTTACTATTGTTCATAGCTTGTAAAAAAGTGTCGGATCATCCTCAATACCTATGCACAGTCAGACTCTTGCATATACACTTATAATCAGTAGGAATGCTGATTTCTTTGTTCTAGTAGATCTCCTAATGTGTATCAACAGTTCTTGAGACTGTTGGACAACTGGTTGTTCCACTTGTATTGGAGGTTGGTCAAAAATGATCTTCTAAAACAATCGCATCAGAATGTGGATTTTGATTGAGTGGTTCCTCTTATTCACCCTGTTGGATGAACAACCAATCTTTTACTTGATGTAGGAGCATTGTCTGAAACATCAATTTTCTTAGAGACTGAGTCTCTGATTTGATCACTCCCACTGACCACATCATTTTCAAGAAATTTGGCTTTCTTGATTCAACAATTCTACTGGAATGTTAGGACAATAAAACTTATATCCCTTGGATTTTTCTGCATACCAATAAAATATGCACTAATAGTCTAGGATCTAACTTCCGTTCTTGTGGTTATAAACTCTAACCTCAACTGGGCAACCCCAGATGCGTAAATGACTTAAACTTGGTTTCAACCTTTCCATAATTCGAATGGCGTTTTGGGAACCGCCTTAGTTGGAACTCGGTTTAATATATACGCTGCAGTTTTGAGAGCTTCAACCAAAAGAATGAGGAAGTCTGGAGTTACTTAGCAACTCCGTACCATATCCATTAATGTTCTATTTTCCGTCTACTAAACCATTCTGAGATGGTGTGCAGGCAAGGTGTACTGAGCCACAATACCTGCTCTTGAAGAAATTTGCAAATGGACCTGTGCTTGTCCTATACCAGTGTAGTACCATAATATTCACCCACTCTATCCAGATCTCACGATCTTAATTTGTTCATTGTTTCTCTACTTCTGCTTTATATATTTGAAAGCATCCATGTTCATCCTTGGATAAAGCATATAGAGATACATTACGTGAGTAATCATCAATAAAGGTGATGAAAATTTCTGACCACTAGAGTCATGTCAAGGCAACAAATATCTGTGTGTATGATTTCTAAAAGTTCAAAACTTTTCCTAGCACTTCTTGGATTTGTTAGTCTGCTTTCCCTTAATGCAGTCTACACAAGTATCAAAGTCAGTAAAGTTAAGAGTTTCAAGAACTCCAGCATTACCAACCTTTTAATCCTATCAATGGAGACGTGTTCTAATCTCCTATGCCACAAAAAGAAGAGTTTCATACATAATAGTATGTTCATACCAGTGTTAGCAGTGAAGTCATAAGACTATAAGGAACAGTATCACTTAAGAATTTTACAACAACCATCAACCAAAGTACCATTCCAACAATAGATGAGTTCTTAATTAAATTAAAAGAATTACATAAAAGTGAAAGAGTATCCACATGGTACAAGTTTAGAAACTGAAATTAAATTCTAGAAAAACTAGGAATATAAAAGGTGTTCCAAATCCAAAACATAATTAGTACTTAAAATAAGTCTAAAAGTTCCAACAGCTTCAACAGTGAAGGCACCTGTCTTTCCTGAATAGATGTTGCATTCACTTCTTAATGGCTTCCTTTGATCCAGAAAACCCTGATGGTATTAGAACATGGATTGTAGAACAGAATCAACCACCAATCATTATGTGAAACACAAATCATATTAGATTCATAACACACAAGAGATGAGAGGTTACCTTTCTTGTCAAGCCAGGCTCCTCTTAGGACAATCCTTCTTCATGTATCCCGTTTTTACAGAAGAAACACTTGATATTGTCCTTATTACTTTGTCTAACCTCATGCAGCTTGCCTTTTCTTCCACTTCTTATTCTTGTTTGAAGTGTACTTGACATTTCCTGTCACCAGATGTGCAGTTTCATTCACTTCCTGAAGGCTCTCCTCCTCCTGAACACACATGGTCAAAGCTCATTGATTGACCATTTATCCTTCTGTGTGTTATAAGATATTTTGAAAGGAGTATAATGAGACGAGAGAGAGTTCAGGACATAATGCACCAGGAAGTCATCATTAATCACCATCTGAAGGGATTTCAACTAACAGCTATGTCCCTCATTTCATAATATGCACGAACTCCTTTATACCAGTCAACTTCATGGAGTTAATCTACTCTAGGATGCTACCAATGCCTTATCTAATGTTTCAAACTGTGATGAATTGCACCATCAGATCCTTGACATTTTCACACTCCGGTATGACCCACGGATACTAGTTGTAATGTGAGATTTGATAAACATCATGCTTAAACGGTTGGATCGCTCCCACGTTCATACAAAGCAATCTCAGCTTTAGAGCTAGTATTTGTAGGTGTTGGTGGCTCTTCCTTACGAAGAGCATAGTCAAGATCTATGCACTAAATGAAGGAGGATAGCCTCTCTCCAGGATTTGTAGCTATCACCATTAAATTAGGACTTATCCTCAACCATCATCAAAGTTTGATCAACTGTAAGCAATTCAATAGACATGCTTACTAAATAAATTATGAGGCACAACCATCATAACAATTATAAGTTTACCAATGTAAAACAAATAATAAATCATAAATGAATCGACATATCATAAATCTCCCTATGGGTAAAGACATTACAATTATGATTCATTATCCTTTAATGATGAAACTAGAAATTATTAAATTTCAAATACATGTGGGCCAATTAAGAAATAAGAATAATCTATTCATCCCTAATTAATCATAAAAATAACACTTCCCTGGGTAAAATGATTATACTAATATGATTAACTACAAAACGATGTATTAACCAATATGATCATAACTAATATTTCTTAATGCATATATTATCATAATTTAGATGCTGCGGCTATCTAAATTAATCAAAAATATATACGATCATAAAACATCAAATAATTTATAACATGAATTGATAATATAACACAAATCAATACAAGAAAATACATTATTTATGCAAACAAAGTAATATATAACATAAAAAACCATCATA